ATGTTATTTATTTCTTTATGAATTATAAGAAATAGGGTTCCTAATAAAGTAAATGGTTGTATATGCTATGATTATCACTGTGTAATTACTTTACACAATTTAATATTTTATAATAATAAATTTTTGTACGTTAAATTCATAAATATAAAAGTTATTATTTGTAAATGCAATAATTATTTAGCAAAAAAAGCTTGCTTTAATCGGCCGGATCAGTCTCGATCATGCTTTAATCGGCCGGATCAGTCCCAATCTTGCTTTATAACTTAACTAGTACTTAACGAAAAGTAACTTAATTATAGTGTTTTGGAAAGCTCGCGAGATGAGCTGTAAGAATGTGCAATGAGAAATAAGAGGTTCCATTTAAAAAATTAAAGGTGACCTTCACGTGACCTACAGAGGACTGTCCAAGGTCAAATCGATGGCACCATCTTATGTCCCCCTTCGAGTCAAACAACTTTTGTCTGAAACGTTTTTGTCTACTGGGTTTAGTTTTTGAGATATTTGGCTGGATCATTTAAAATGGGACACCCTGTATATATATTTAAATGAAACCAAATCAAATAGTTATTGTCACGTACAAATTAATAGTGTTAAAATTATTCTTCATTAATATCTATTTATATCTACTTAACATTTTCTAATTATTGTTTATTATTGTACAATAAAAATTATTTAATTATTAATTAACTGTTTAATTAAATACACAAATAATTATTTAAAATAGATAAAACAGAACTTTTATTATTTAATTAAATGATTCTTTAATTAAAAATTAAAAAAAATAATATAAATTATTTAATTAAATCTGAAAATTCTATTTCATTATCTAATGTAGACTTGTCCAATTTTAGCTCCGGATCGAGCCAAAACGCAAAGTTATTGATGCAATAAAAATCAATGTAAGATTTCGGGGACTGTAAAGTTGATACGCGTTTGAGCGACGCTTTATCAATACTTTACCGCCATGCAGGGGTGCGTTCCAAAACGTAACTTTGGTTACTAAAAAGCTATAGTTTACGTTACGTTAACTATAGATTTCAGTTACCAAAGTTGCGTTTTGGAACGCGCCCCGCAGTATGCACTTTACAACCCCCGAAATATAACTCACAATTTTGGCTCTGGAGTTAATTGGATAGGCCTGATCTAATGCAATGAGATGATAGGCAAATAAAAATTACTATTATAATCTAACTGTTTATGTTTCAAAATTAAAACTATGTAAGATTAAAAAATCAAAATTGATGGAAACGATGATCACAGTACTTGAAAATTATTCGAAATTTAGAATCTTTATATAGTTTTTACGGTGAGCTTTTTCAGCGAAATTGATGATGTGATATATTTTCTGAAACATACTACAATTATTTAAAAAGGTGAGATTTTTACGACTTTAATCTCAGCAATAAAAATGTGTAATAAAGTATTAATCCTTTTTTAGATTGAAAGTTCGTGGATAGTCAATAAGTAAACCTGGTATTTTTTCATCGTTAAATATTGCTTTCTCTTTGTTCTCACTTTCTGGTAACATCAAAAGTGCGTTTGAACCTACAATGTTACATAGTTTATCCTTGAAAAGATTACCCATGTTACAAGCCATTGCTACATTATCTTTAGACCACTTCAAATATGTACACGCAAGTCTAGGACGATGATGTAGAATAAATGGAATATCTACCTACAATTTTATAAGAACATCATTATAATATTAGATGTATCTTTCTATATTTTACGATATTATGTGAGACTAAACTTACATGAATTGGTAATACAGGAGTTTCCGCGTATTCATTGCAAGACATCTTTCTTAGAAAAGGCAAAAGGAGTACTTGCGCGGCAATGAAAGCAGTTACCGGATTTCCCGACAAACACAAGAAATATTTTATTTTATCATTGATCTTGCATGTAGCTAGTGTGGTTGACTTCCCTGGTTTTATATTTACATTACCTGAAAGAAATGGATACAGTTGTAAAAGATTTTTTTATATGTTGGAAATTAATGAGAAAAATAAGAGATACCAAAATGTATTTCGGCTTCAAAGCATGTTAGTAAGATTTTCTTCAATAAATCTTTGTCATTAGCAGAGCCTAATGTCACAAGTATATCTACTTTATCTAGAGCTTTCTCGATATTCTTAATTATGGATGATGATCTGCAAAAAATTAATTACTTTTTTAAATTATTAGATACCGCGGAAAGTTCGTGTCGTTTTATCAAGAGATGTTTATAGGGAAAAAACGACACGAACTTTCCGCGGTACCTAATATTTGTATAATTATGAAAAAAATTTTGTAAATAAAAAGCTATTAAAGTGATGTAATAGTTTGCATATTTGTGAAATTGTAAAAAAATTTTAATGCTCTCACGTATTATTCACGATTCCAAAATCTGAAGAAGAGAAATCGTTATCTTTTAGTAGTGAAATTATAGTTATTTTACTAATATCGTAGATGTATCCTGATTTTAGAGGTTTTCCGGGTTCTTCTAAGTTATTACCGATAGATAATACACCTATAGACAACTGCTGAGCAACTACAACTTCTTTATGGCCAGAAGCTGCCAAGACTCCCATCTCTTCTGGGCCAATACGTGTGTATTGTTTTAAGATAAGTTTTTCTTTCATTGTGTGGTAACCAATGGGACTTTGAAATAAATATACAGATAAATAAAATAACTATTTTGATAAATAAAAATAAAATGTCTGGTATGAAAATATTGAATTTATACTTAATGTTTTGCCCATGTCGTGGTATACTCATTATTTCAATATACACTTTGTCGTTGTCTAGATGAGGTCTAATTCGTTTTGTATTTTTCTCTTCTATAACCGCTGTTGCTTCTGTAATCGAATACAAATGATAATTGGTTCTTTATTATAAATGATGCATCAATGTAATTATAACTTCTAATTATTTACCATTAGGAACAGGCGCTCCACTCTTCACCCATACGCATGTTCCACATTGAAGCGAAATCGGAGGAAACTGAACAAATTTTGTTTAGTTCTAGTTAATTCTAATAATTGTAATTTGTTGCATATACATATGCAACAAAAATATATACGTACATATAAAATATAGATATATGCATCGAATTTATCTTACTGTATTATTATTGTTCAATACTTGTCTCATTCCTTTTCCATCAGATACCAACACTGCATACCCGTGCTTTTTGGAAGTTCTAAATGATGGCACGTTATATTTCGAATAAATATTCTCAAGTAATATTCTACCATAAGCATCACTTATTTTTACCGATTCATTATCTTTAATTATACTTGTTGTGGATATATCTCTGAATATTATTAGTGCCTCATCTAAAGAAATTAGAGGCATCCATTCCGTATGGCGATTGCTTGCATCATTATATTCTATACTCTATAAATGTCTTTAATTGTATATATTTATAATATTGTAAAATTATTATTTGTTGTGCATAGAGTATCTTACTTCTGCAGAAGTAGACAAAAAAGAAGAAGTAGAAGAAAAAGATTCCTTAAAAGTTTCAGGACTATGAATATTTTCGTTTGCATCTTTATCTTTTATCTATACAAATAGATTAGTCTTATAGTCTGTGTCTATATCATCTTATAAATTTGTTTTATGATATTAATTTTAATATAGACAATATATTTTACCTGCTCTGAAACATTATTATCGGAAGAATCGAGAAAATCTGCATTGGCAGATCTCGCAAGTAGCGACTCTTTGTTCTCATCTTTCTTGCGTATTAAATGCAATGTATTTATCAGTATATCTGCAATTGCTGCAATGCAAACATTGTCGTCCATGCCGGGCAAATTAATGATTAACGTCTTGTTTCGTATTCCACATACAGTTCTGACAATAAATCAATTGTAAGAGTTGTGTGTGTGTGTCTGTGTCTGTGTAAATTTCAAAATTACGTAAATAAAAATAAAAGTTTACTTATAACTTGTTATCTCCTCCAGATTTTTTTGTATGCTCCTTATCAAAATTGCTAGATTTTCAGAAAGTTTTTCGGGATCAATAATTATAGCTTTAACCGTTTTATTTATATATTCTCTGTCAGTAAAATCAACGTGACCAGCAATAAAAATGACATCAGCTTTATTATTTGCAGATATTGAAAGTAATCTTTTCTATATTAATTTTATAATAAAATAAAATTTAAGACAAGTATATTTAATAACACAAGTATATTAAATTTATTATACGTATATTTATTATAGGTATAATTACCATTATAGTATCTTTAATTGGTTCTGCAATTATTACATCGACTATTTTTAGATTAGATATAGCAGCTGTCACTGTGTCATGAATCTTGTTATATGTTGCAATATATTGCGGGCTATATAAAAGATTTTCGTTTTCTCTCAAGTCAGTTATATATTGATTTTTACACAACCAAGTTGATTTATATACTAAATAGATACAATAAAATTATTAGATTTTTAAAATATAATAATTAAGTTTAAAGTTATATATATGTATATATTTTTATGATTTATCTCAATATTTACAAGTAACTATTAAACATGACTTTAAAATAAAGCTATAAAGTAAATTTTCTTTGTTATACTGTATAGACATATATTAATTATTATAGATATTAAATAAAATATATTGTTATATTTCTATTATATAAATATAATGTTTTTAAAACATTTTTCATTATAATTTTTGTATTTAAGAAATGAACTTTATTAACTTATTATATATGCAATATTTACAAGTCTGATTGAATATACATGAAAAATATATAATATAACCTAAATCCGCTTACATACTATACGCAAATTCCAAGAAGCGATACAGCTCATTCTTCTTTATCCAATTACCAAGTTAGCTGTGTAACGAAATACTCACATCAATATAGCAACGTACACCGGCATAAAAATTAATATAAATCAAAAATTACACTGAACATACAATCAAAACTGGTACACTAATACTAAAAATTGAAGTTATAAAAATTAAAAATTAACAATTTTTAGTATTAGTGTACCAGTTTTGATTGTATGTTCAGTATATGTAATTTTTGATTTATATTAATTTTTATGCCGGTGTGCGTTGCTATATTGATGTGAGTATTTCGTTACACAGCTAACTTGGTAATTGGATAAAGAAGAATGAGCTGTATCGCTTCTTGGACTTTGCGTATAGTATGTAAGTGGATTTAGGTTATATTATATCGATAAGGACCCAAAAATAGGGGTCGAAACGTATATTTAATTAATTTTTGATGTGACTTGTTTAATTACACGAAAATAAATTGTACATCAGATTAACTGATGTTTGTTTTTGATGGGCTTGCTTATTATTATTACTATTGATAGATTCTTTCAAGCCTTTTTTTAGATATTTGTTGAAAAATATATGTCGAATCATGGTACGTACGAATTATAATTTGAGCTGTCATTGCCATTTTCACTTGTTCAGATATCTTTTCGTGTTATTATATGTAACTAACACTCAACTTTCGCTATATATTTAATCCCAATTGTCACGTTCGTCGACTGAGCTGACTTTGTCGAAATGATGTTTGTGATGATGGTTACCAAACGTTTCGTGACAAGATGCTGTTTATATTGTTTTCTTTCTGAATATTTAAATTGTATTCCGTAACGTCGATTTTATTTTTATAATTTAGTGAGAACACTGTCACATTTCGTTATAATTACGTAAAAAATACGTGTAAAAATGTATTTCAAATTAATATCAATGACTTATAAGAATATAGAAGATTCCAATTAAACAAGAAAAAGAATAATAAAAATATTATATACATATAGACATTAGAAATAGAATAAATTATAATGCTTACTAACTAATAAATTGAAGAATTTAATATATTAGACCGACCATTTATGAATATATTTAAATTTTCATAATTACACAAGGAACTAGTATTATATGAATTTCTTGTGAGAAGAAAAGATTTAATATTTATAAAAGAAATATTAAATTAAAAAAATTTCTAAACGAGCGTATAAAAGTTTGAGAAGATTTAAGTGTAAGAGTAGTTCATTATCGGACTCTCTCATACGCGCGAGGAAAAGTATTTAGAATACGAGAAAAAAGAAAAAGAAATAAAAGATCAGGAAGAAGACCGTAGCGTTCATTTTATTTCTAGAATCGCAGGTTGTCGCGAAAACGAAATTGGAGAAAAGCGCGGGCGTGCAACGCAGCACCATCGAACGGATTTGAACGGAACTAGCCGATGCGTCGGAGGTTTCGTGCGACGCCACGAGGCGGCGCGCAAGCGCAAGCGCAACTCGCAATCAGTCCGCCCTTTTCCCGCCGCGTTGATGCTGACGTCGCTGACGTCGCTGACGAGCGTCGGGACTGTTGGTTGGGTGGCCAGTAGCAGCTGACCGATGGGAGCGTTCGGAGTAGTTCCTTCCGTACTCGGCTTCGCAGTCCTCGCATTCGTGCGTGTCCGCGTAAGCCCGTGCGTTTCACGGCGATCCGTCAATCGCCTTACGTCGATCGGCACGCGTCGTGTGTGATCCGAGAAAGTAAAGCCGGTGCCGAAGGAAGAATTCACGAGGACGCCGCATCTTCTACGTCGATTGCGAAACTAGTGAAAGGCGCGCGACACGCGCGGGACGAAGACGACGACGGCCACGACGACAACGGGTCACGGGTGGAATTGCCACGGTCAACGGAACGCCGGGTGAGTAGCGATCGCTTCGTTTCACTTTATTCTCCTCTCGCTCGCGATCGCGTCGCCGATCTTCGTCGTAGAGTGATCGCAGGGCGATCTGGATATTCCTCCCGGCTACATGTCAAGTTTTTCACGTCAACTTTCTCCGATAAGTTTTTTTTATAACGCTCATAGAATGCTATCTATATATGACGCTCCGCTCACCGAACGGTATGTACGATCGCACGACGCTCCGCTCACGAATCCGTGGGGCGATCAGTTGTGTCACGTCGCAGTTTCGTGACATCGCACAAGGACGAAAGGTGCGTGCGTGCGTGCGTGCGTGCGTTATACTTGCGTGCGTCAAACCAGCCGCGCGCATACGAGACTTTCGCGTTCTCCGAGGTGACTGACACCTGATGCGTCGATGACCGTGCCATGCGTAGAAATATGAATTCCATCCGTCGAATAGCGACGTGTCATGCGAAAAGATCGCGCGTTGTTTATTTTTGTCCGATGATAAAATACCGCCGCAATTCAAGGCCTCGCGAAGGATACGACATACGATCATCCTGCGTTACGCAACCTACACATTTTTTTTCGCGCGGAGGGAGGACGCGCGATCCGGAGAAAGCGTCAGATGGCGTCGCGTCCTTCCGGGGAGGACTATTTGCGCGGTGAATCGCGACTTCCTCGACCACGGCCGAGAAAAAAAATGCATATTCGTGAATCACCCACTGAAAGTTTCACGTATTGAGATAAATTTCTGGTTTGTAAACAAATCGGATGATTCTGACCGCGTCGGTTAAAATTCTACAGATTACTTCAACTAGAGCTTCCAAAACGTTCTCTCCCAAAGGTATTTCAAATGTCGAGTAAAATTTTCTTCGGCGAGGACATTTTGGCATATAGCCTAAAATTGTAATAGATTCAACCAGAAAATTCTAATCCGTTCATTTTCAATCCAAATTAATGCAACCAGACTTTTTCCGGTGTGATCGATGGTTTTAAAGTATTTTTGTAGCGCGTATTCTACACGCTAAACATCGTTCATAAATTAACTGTTATTCCCGTTGTCCGTACATTTTTTTATACGTTTTGTATATTTGATACACTTTTTGTACATTTTGCCGAAAAACTAAAATATACCGGAAAACCAAAGTATGTCGACGCAGCGATTTTAAATTCTAACGGGTTTGTATCTCAACATTTTAAATTCTAACGCGGATGTAACAGGATTTGAAATTCTGATGTATACATGGTAGGAAAAACACATTGAATACGACTTATCAGTCGCCGTTAATCGCATTCATATCTGAGGAACTTCGAACGTAACATTGAAAATGTACGTTTCCACAGTAGGCGTAAAATATTAACAATATAATACATATAATAATAAAAATGAGAGAAAAATAAAGAATATAAAATATTGATCTTTTTTTATTATTAGATTTTTCATCGAATCTTTTTTTTATTAGTGATTTGCAGATTATTTAACTGATAATCATCAATTTTTAGTTTTACACAGAATAACAATATATATTTATTTACGGCTACAGAATTGTGAGACTCTGTTTTCGACATAACTTATTTAACCAGAGTTGTTTTTACCAACTTTTTCTGTGTGAGAGCCATAAATCCTGGTATATAAAATTGCAGCTACGAGAAGAATCATTAATAAGTTAAAATCATGTAGATGTTAATATATAGCTTTATTTCTTTGTTGATCAGAATTGATTGCGTCTTAATTAAAACGTCGTTCTAAAATATAAACGATTGTAAATGAAGATGCGACTGAAACTTCTGGGAGTGTTAAATTAAATATAACGAAACTTCATTATTCATTTAAATTGACTTTACTTTCCCGAAGTTTGGATTCAACGTTTAATTATAATGAGAATAGTATTGAATATTATACAGTTGCGGCGAAAGATGACGATTTTCTCGGAAGTTGTTCGAGTGGGGGATGAGAGAGGAAAAATGCAAATTTATTGAAGAATCTATAAGTTAAAATTAAAAATTACAAAACGAGATTCTGAAACAGCCTGTGTGAACAAGATTATAATAACTGTAAGAGAAATTCTATGGTTAAATTCAGTAATGCTGTTAATTCCCACGATGCGACGCCGCGACAAGGGAATATTTTGAATAAAGTTATTTTATAACATTACATTTGTTTTTTATCATTTTATGTAGATATTTCAAACGTTCGTTTACAAACATTTGTACAATATATTCCTATATACTGCTGTGCAGTTCCGATACTAATCGATTGTACGGGCAACTGTTTACATACTTGTTATCCATTAATTTTCGTTGTAATTAGTCTAATTAATAATTAACAAATTTTATAAACTACGAATTAAGTTTCGTTTTAACGAAAGAACAATACGCCGACAATTTGTAAACTTATTACTTTACTTTGTGTATTTATTAGAAACGTGAATCCTGTTAGAAAGTCTTCGAACTAGTTTTATCGCTTCAAAGAATGAATATACATATTTATCGCAAAAATAAAAAATAATAAATTAGATTTCAAAACTCAGTGTTGGTAAAATGCAAGTTAAAAATTAAACGAGTTGGGGAAAATGAGATGTGCACTCTCGTGGAAACTATTCTTATTAACCATACATTAATTTATCTTACTAATTTATCTCGATGGACGCTACTGTGAAATAAAAGGATAGTAATCTATAAGCCAAAGGATCGAGGATTTAATTGAAAATACGTGTACTTTCATATCTTTACGAAACAAAAGCTCATTGACGTATCTTTTGCCGAAGGAGTATCGTAAATTATTCTCGCCACACCGTAAAGTTGAGTCTCTTTTGCTGTCACGATATTGTACGCCATATGAAAGACGCGATGAAGTTCGGACGTTACGCAAAATAAATACGCGATACGTACACACATGCACACCGCTAACAGCACTGCGGTGCAGCTTGCGGAGTAAGTCAATATCATAAACGTAATACGGGCTGGCGAGCGAAAACAATAGCGGTCACTCCGGAGAGAAGAAGAGTGAAATAATCCAAACGGAAAATCGTTGAGTCTTTTTCCGCAGGCTTATCGGAAGTGTATCTGCATTTGCATCTTCATCGTACGATTATTCCGCAAAGGAAGCGCAATTACGAAGTATATTCCACCTGATTACATGCAAGCTGTAATCGCCTTTACCGCTCTTTATCGGAGTACATCCGTCTTGCGAAACGAATTGCAGTGTTTTTTTCTTTTTTCGCTGCCACAATTCATCGGCTTCATTCCGATATCATTCTCTCGGTCGTATATCGAGTCGTACACAAAGTATTGGTTCTGTATCCACGATTTTCACTCTCAAGGAAGTCAGATATGTGTAATTGATAAAGAAATTCAGCAATGCTACTCACATTTCTTAGAAAATGAAAAATTATTTTCGAGCGTCTTTAATATTGCTTTATAAAGCCAATATATAAAGATTACTGTTACATTTCCGCTTTCTTTTCCACGATAAAAATAATTAATTACACTTATATGTATCGCGAAAAGTTTACCGCAGTGGCTTGGAAATTATTTTTTATTGTAACATTGCCACAATGTTTTACTTCACTATGGTTTTATATAATCCGTGGATAAATTACATTATTATTTTTATTATCGCATTCTATATATCGTTTATTTGTTACAATAACACAATTCAAATAAATAAAGTTTCCCAGAAAATGAATTTCATTGTTTTGAATCATTAATTTCGAAATACAATTTTGGAATAATAATTTTAATTTAAATTATTAAAATAAAATTTTGGAATAAAACTGATTGTTTAGCAAAGTATGCTTTTCTTTAAATGCGTTCTCTCTATTTTCTTTACGTTTTCGTTCTTTTTCGGTAAGCGACTCCAAAATAACACTATTTAAATATAGCAAATAAGCATTTTTTTATAACAAATAAGCGATATGTATTATCGTATAAATATAAAACATAAATATAAAAAAACTTCGTTACCCGATAAAATTTATGACGGCATATTTTAGTGTCGCGTATACTACGCGTAACGTGATAATATTCATCGTGAAACGAAATTGGTATAATTCGTAGGTCAATAACACCGAAATGTTATTACGGACACAACGATAATAACGAGTGTGTGTCTAGCTGGATACACGAGACCTGCTAGCATACGTAACTAATTGACCCATTTAATCACACGAACAATGTGTAAAACGAAACGTTAAAACGAAACCTATCTGTGTCTCGTAGCAATTTGCTCCCGCCGGTGTTTGAATAATTTGTTTTCTGAAAATTGGAGTGTGACGAGCGCAATATATGTTGCTTTACCACTAGAGAGTAATTGCTGTAATCCGTAATTGTTATACGCGCGAATTGTTACGAAAGAATTTTGTTCACTTGTCGTCTTAAAAAAGAAAAACAACACTGGAGTATATATTCAGGACGTGGATAATTCAATCGTCGTTATCCGCAACATCCGTTAGGACTCTTTATCATCGTAAGGACGTAAGAGATTTGCATTCATCCTCTCTATAATTAGCTTGATTAATCTTACTTGAACGGTTTGACGGTAACTAGTGCTGGGAGCGTTTCCTACGTCGTTGGAATAATCATTATTGCGATCGTTTCGGGGTGATATACGGAGATCAGCCGATAGCGACGAAGGTAAAATAGCGATCTCGTTGGCTACGGTGGATTATACGGTAGCCGGCTATTTCGAATCGTTAACGCGTATACGTGAAAATCCACAGTGTCCTTGTTTCCGACGTTTGAACACGCTCTACCCGCCCATAAATCAAGACCGATCGTCGGGTCGCCACCGACGTTGTGGCACCACCATTGCACCGTCGCGTCGCGTCGCCTCCAGTCGCCTCCAGTCGCCTCCGCGTGAACCGACCGACACGGTACAGCCACCCCCTCCCCTCCCCTCCCCCGAGTGCATTCGCATTCGATACACGTTCACGCCGGCACTCCGCACTCGAATCGTGGTGCACGCGAGGAGGGACTCAGCACAGCCTCTCGACTCCTCGAGGAACCCCTCGGGA